CCCTCTCCCCCCTCCTGCTGAGCGTCATGGAACACGCCGTTGCAGTCGTGCAGAATCCTGCGAGCCGAGCCATATCCCACAGACAAACTAGGATGATTACTATCAAGCTCCTGCTCTTTTCACTCTTTTCCGATATGTTGCTCTGACAGCAATGTCCATCAATGAGCCACGCCACGCCCCCTGCTGCTGTGTAAATGATTTCCAGGACGCATTGGGATGCACGGAGCGCGGATGGGCTCCTCCCACACCCTGCTGCAACTGTTATTAACCCTGATTACACTGCTCGGCCGAGTGTGTCCCACAGTCGTGTCCAGCAGCCAGAGACGCACCGCTCGTCGGTTGCATCAGGACGCAACGTCAGTTTGTCGATCGTCACGCAACTCACACGACGAGCGGGAAGGAAACTGACGGCAGGCAGAAAGCATGCGTGCAGTGTGTGTGAGAGAGAGGGAGACAGAGAGGGAGAGAGGGGGGGGGAGGGCGCAGAGAGATATTTGTGTCTTCGTGTCGGGATGTTGTTCACACTACTTCCGCGTTATTGAAGACATAGTAACGAGGCCTAATATATGATTTGTCACGGACGTGTGCCTGCTGTCACTGCTTCTGTTTATCGTTTCTTAGAAGAATGTGTTCTTGCGCAGGCAGCTCATGCCTCGCGATATGCCTTGTACTCACCCTTGTTGAGGTAGGGCTTGGCGGCCACAATGGCTTTCGTGAGGCAGTCGTCGTACTTTGGGTCGCTCCTTTTGCATGTCTGGAGATAATCGGCTGCAATGAGTAAGAAAACATGAATGCTGCAAATGATAAAAAATGTCGTTTCAATGATTATCGTGTCCCTGCCTTACGGATAACAGGACTACAACATTTATCACATTCTGATATGGACTTTTACTAATCAGGACCAGATCAGCAAGCGACGGTATCAACTGGTCTAGTCTGAGCCATCCTAATCTTTCAAGTCAACACGCCCCAGGGTTTCTTTCCTCCTGTTCCTCCTGAACCGATAAAGCATTCCGGTAAAGATGAAATGCAGAAGAATGAGGGGAAGAAGAAAACGGAAATCACTATCCTTTAACATGGTGACTTCCCTTTTCTTGTTCCTTGCATTCTTATGAATTTCAGCTGTACCCGAATGCTTTATCGGCCGCGGCTAAAAGGCCCACGATCCCAACTGAATTGTGCAGTTACGAACTGCCTTGGAACCAGGTAGCTGGTTTACCCTCTGCACTTATCTGCAGTTATACTGTGACGCACGCACGAGTGCAGGCGGGCTTTCCTTCAGAGGTATATAGCCCCTGTCCACGGCGCCTTACGGGGCGAGCGAGTCGGCAACCCACCCCCACCTAGGAATGCGGTACTGCATAACTACAGAAATACGGGAGGTTAACCAGCCATCTGGTATATCCTCAGGAAAAATGGGGCCCAAGGAACAGCCGGAACATCAGAACAACAGGTGGTTCACCGACAGACCGCATCGCGCTGGGTCACTGTCCGTCCGCGCCCGCTTGCGACAACCACCTCCGCTAAATGGCGACACCCCCTGGGCGTTGCAAGCACGAAGGGCCTAAGTGTACTCACGGATCTTCTTGGCCTGTGCGGCCGCCGCGACGAGGACGAGAACGCCGATGATGGTCCTGATCGCCATGGTGCTGATGGTGCCGGTGCGGGTCCAGTACTGGGCGCGTGCTGGCCGCTGCTCGCCGTATACATGTAAGGGTTGCAGCCCCCGCTGCCCCCGCCACACGAACGGGGGCCCCCGCCCC